GCTTGTCAGGACATATCAGAACAAGAACATCAGGAAGATGGTAGTGGAGAAAACAAACTGTTCTGCAGAAGGTGGGAACCACCATCCAAACTCCAGTTGTGGCGCATGGTCAAGCCAATCTCCCTGTGACCCCGGCAAGTATCCCAAATTAACCATATTGAATGAGGATTAAACTGATCTTTAATAAGTAGTCACTGCCTGCTTGCTATGGGACCAGCATCGTACTAAGCACTAGGGGGCCCAAAGACTCCCCTGTTCTCAAGCCTTTAATAGTATCATTAAAAATCCAGACCCAGGAAACAGAGCGATTGAATGTTACATTTCACAGAGTAAACGGGTAGAATCGGACTTCTGAGATTGGTGTGAGCTGGAGGAGTGGGAGATTCAGGAAGGAGGAGTGGAGTGTGGAGGTGGAGAGCAAGAAGGGCGGCAGGCCAGGCTCTCTTGGGCACGGGGGAGGGGGGAGTGCAGGGAGGGGACGCGCAGAGCACCTGGAAGGCCAGGCATGATGGGAGGTGTCCTGAGAGCATAATGACATGATGTGCCATTGTATCCCTGGGACCTGATAGACCCGGGGTGAGGAGGGGACCCCTCTAGCCTGGAGCAATGGGGCAAATATGAAGGACACTGGAAGGAGAAAGGATAAGCCTTAGGGATGGCAGGAATGGGGAAGCCACTGGCGGGAGTGGAGAGCATCGAGGGGCAGGAAGACATGGGTTGAATTTCAAGCAGATGGACCATCCAAGGAGATGTTAGGATGTTGGCTGGGAACACTGGGCTTACAGCTGCGGACGTGGCTGGAGGGACAATGCGAGATGAGTAAAGGGATTGCCGGTTGGAAAGTCAGGCCTGGAGGACAGGGGAAGGTAGGAGCCAAGGAGGTAGAGGCAGGTTTGGGAAAGACCCACTCCATGGTGGTAGTTGCTGAGTAGAGGGAGGCTTGAGGTTGGCCTGACGGGATTGGAGGAAGGAGTTGATGGGACCCGGAGACCATGGAAGATGAAGGAGTTCACCTAGAAAAGGACAGTGCCTGAGCTAGAGCTGAAAAGTCTGGTGGGTTCCTCCAGGGTTTTTGTTTTAAGATCCAGGAAGCTTCAGTGTGTTTAATAGCAGGAGGGAGGAGAAAGCAAAGAGGAAGACTCTGGAGGGTGTGAGATCCTTCTAGGACTGAGCCCCCCTAGGAGCGGCGAGCTGCTGCCACTGCTCTGGAGGCAGGGACAGCTGTGGAGGCTGTGAGGTTTCAGCGGTCACACTGATGTCGCCGGCATGGGGAAAGGATGGCGTGGAGCAGCATGAGAGGGAGCAACAGTTTGGGGGTCAGGTAGAGGGGAGCGGAGGGATTGCGAGGCAGCAGCAGAGGTCCAGTTGAGGTGCACATAGCTTACCAGCTCTGTGACCTTGAGCAAATCACATAAACTCTCTGTGCCTCAGTTATCTCATCTGTAAAATGGGGATGATAAAGCCTTCCGGCTTCCGGCTGAGAATGAGTGCTAGGAGAAAGGGGAATGAGAGCCCTCAGAGGGTGGCTGGTTGGGGGAGAGGGCTTTGGCTTTAGCTGAGAAGGTCTGGGGAGGGGGGCGGGATGTTGACTGAGGCGACCATCTGAAGGAAGAGCTGCACATGTAAAGGCCTGAGGTAGGGCCGTGGGCGGCCAGTGTGGCTGGAGGAGAGAGGGAGGGAGACAGGCCTAGAGAAGTGTCCGGGGCCAGCTCGGGTGGGGCCTGCCAGGACAGGATAGGAAGGTAGGTGTTTCCCCAGTAGCAGTGGGCAGTGTTGGAGGGTTGGAGCGAGGAAGTAATTTGCTCGTATGTGGGGTTCTGGGAGGATCTCTGTGACACTGTCCAGGGAACGGCCTGCAGGAGCAGGAGTGCGGGGGATGGGATTCCTCCCACAACATCCACAGATCGGGTGAGCACAACCAGGGCAGAGAGCACGAAAGCCTTTGCTCATCAGTCTTCCCCATTTGTCCAGACCCTTCCTGGTGCCGCGCCCTTGCCTAGGTACAGAGAAGGCTATAAAGACAGTTTCTCTGTCCAAGAAGAGCAAAGGGTAAGATTGCACCCAGACACCTGCCCCATAAAAAGGGCATGGGATAAAGACCCTGGGGCACGAGGGCTCCGGGTCACCCCTCTGTTCCTTGTGCTCCCCTCAACCCCGGGAGGAGGCCCTGTGCTTGGCTTGGGCTGTGTGGGCTCTCTGGGACCCTGCTGTCGACTGGCACTCTGAGATGCCCCTTGGCACACTTGGAGGGCTCCGGGGTTACTTTGGGTCTGCTCAGGGTGGCTTGGATCCTGCCTCTCCTCCCAAGTCTTGGTTCCCATGACAGACTGGGTTTCAAGAGTGGGTGCTTGTGTTCTCTAGTCCATAGAAAGAAGAGTAAGGGGGTCCTGCCCACTCCACACCCCTTCCCAAACCCTAATGCCAACCATTGGGACATCCAGGACACCGTCAGATGGCAGCTGAGCTCTTGTCCTCTAGGCCCACTCACATGCCCCTTGAATTGTGAAGGGGTCTGCTCAGGGTGAGACATGTCTTCATGCGCTCCCTGCGGGGCTAGGGAGGGACTCACAGTCACAGGGGTGTGGGGTCTCCACGCGTGAAAGTGGTCTGAAGTGGCATGGGGTGCGCTGAAGGCCTGGCCCCAGCCCATCTGGGGGTACCCGTGCAGGGACTGTCTCTGCTGTAGGGGAGCACACAATCCAGTTGGGGAAATGTGAGAAAGCACAGGGCATTCTGGAACAACACCCTGCCCAGGACCCACGGCCAGGAGACCTGGTTGGTTTCGGGGCTATATTGGTGGGAAGGGTTGCTTTTCAGAGCCTGTGCAGGCCTGTGAAGGTGTTCTTAGAACAGGTTTTTGCATTGTAACCACGGCCCCCATTCCCTGATGGGTAGCAGAGTCCCATTTCCTCACCCCAGGCTCACTGATGGGGAACTGTACCTCCAGGGCCAATCCCTGGCCTTCCCTCCATCCCCACCAGGCTGTGACCAGCCGTCTGGTTTGCAAGAATGCCATGCCCCATCCTTAGGAAACTTCCCCTTCCTAAAGGACCTGTTCAGCCTTCTGCTGCTTATTCTGCTCCCTATATCCCTTTCCTGTGCCTCTTTTCTGACCTCTGGAACTTGGCTCTTTAATTATTTTCTCTTTGTCCCTGTAGCGGGGTGGTTCGGGCCAGAGGGCTGCTAGGTAGTAGCATAAGGCTCAAGGAGGAACATCGACATGAAATAGCCATTCTTCCCCCCACGTCTCCCTCCTCACCTCCGCCCGTGGGAAATCACTTGTGTGTTTGCTTCTGGCCCTCCCCACCCCCCCCCCCCAGCTTACACCAACAACCAGGCAGACATCGCCACCCAGGGCTGGTTCATTGGGCTCATGTGTGCCATCGCCCTCCTGGTGCTGATCCTGCTCATCGTCTGTTTCATCAAGAGGAGTCGAGGTGGCAAGTACCCAGGTAGGATGTATGGGAGGAATGGGCTTGGGGGAATGGGGCCAGCAAGCTTTCCTGGGAGCCACCAGGACCCTGACCAGATCCAGGGGGCTCAGTTCTCCCAGCGAGCCTAACCCTTGCCAAGCTTGGACATAGAGTCCTCTCGCCTGGTCCGTGCATCTTAGAGCTGCCAGAAAGCACTTGAGTTAATTAAGTTTGTCCGAGGTGGGTGGATGAAACGGTCCAGGCAGCTCCAAAGAGGGGATAGAAGGAACCCTGGCTCCTATTAAGAATGACCTTCCCTCCCCTTGACTCACCAGCCGTCTGCTCAGTAAATTGGCTTTTTTCAGCCTGAATCTCATTAGGATCCTGTGTCCTAAGGAAGGAGGAAGGAAGAAAGGCATTTTCTCTAACCATGAGAGAGAACAGAGAGGGGAGGGTCTGAATGGAAGAAGCACGCCCATGAGAGAGGCTTTCGGTGACTGGGCTGTAATGACAGATCCCCCAGCAGAGGGTCAGGAGCTCCTGCTTGAAGAGCAGGCAGAGGTTGAGGGGTGGCTTGCATTGGTACAGACCCCATCGGGAAAGAGCTTTGGACTTCCCTAGCATCCCAAAGAGCCGTTGCTCTTCTGGGGGCCTCAAGATCCACCAGCCCAGACAGACCAAGGTCAAGGACAAGGACCTCTGGCATTCTTGCTTCTGGAAATATTGATTGTTTTTTCAAACAGGGGCAACAAAGCCATCTGTCTGGGATGGGGTGAGTAGAATGACAGGGGACAGGATAATGGATGACCCAGTGAGAGAAAATCCTGCTGGGCTGCATAATAAAATTGCTCCCTGCCCCCCAAAACCCCATTGCCAAGCACAGGCCGTGCTCCCCAAATGCCTCCTCTCTCTGCCTCTAAACAAGACCTCCTCCAGGGTCCCCCTAAGACTCAACTCAGAGAGAAGATTCTCTTTTATTTCCTCTCCCCACCTGCCCCCCGCCGCATACCCTCAGACCCTAGGATTCTAAAGAGTTCTGCCTCTGCTTTAAGTGAGGGAGATGTCTGTGAGGGAGGGCAGGAAATTATAATTCTTTATTGGTGAATGACGTTTTCTTTCACTTTGTTGTGCTGCGTTGGGATTGTTTTTCTCCTGTAAAAGAGAAAGCCAGAGTCAGGGAGAACAACCTTACTGAGCTCACCCCCCAACTCATCAGATAAGCTTGGAGGCTTCCTTTGCCCATTTAGACAGTGTCCTTTTCCAGAAAGTTCTTCTCACAGCTTACCTCCTTCCCTCCAGCTGCAAGGTAAGGCCCTAGTCCGCTGGAAAGATGAGCAAACCATGAGGCCTGGGCTCTAGACTTTACACTAAACTTTAGTCAGTCACTAATGAGTTCTGGGATATGTTCTTCACCTCTGAAGGGCTCAGTTTCCCTCTCCTAAAATGGGGGAGATTATCCTGCCCTATACCTCAGGAAGGATACATAGTCACTCGCGTAAGTGTCCCTGTGTGCCGGGCTCTGTGCTGGGTGTGAAGGACATGAGAAGGAGGGATGATCTCTCCCTCAAGACACTGCAGTTGGCACAGCGGGAAGATCACAGCCCAGGAGACAGGCCTGGGATGGGTGTGTGCAAACCACAGAGCAGGTGTGGGAGAAGGGAGTCCCACACACTAGTGAGGTCACAGACACGAGAGCATTTTCCAGCCCGTAAGTGCGTACGGAGTGCCCCCTCCGCCCAGGGCACTCTGCTAGGGGCTTTTACAACCGTGCACAAATAATTACCCTGCAGAGCAGAATAGGAAAGGTGCCAAAGAAAGGATCACATCCATTCGGTGTTTGGGGGCAACCCCGTGGAGAGGTGGCGGGGGGCCTGGTGGGAGGAGGTTTCAGTTGTCAAGGGAGATGTGTGGAAACGCCGGGGTAGAGGAGGAGGTGGGGGCGTCAACTTGACAGCTGGTTAAATGCAGGAAGCAAGAACGAGGGAGGCATCGATGGTGCCTCGTTGAAAGGGAGAGTGTCACTAACTCTACAGTCGGGGTCCTGTGGAGCAGGGACATAATCGCTGTGTCTGTGTCTTTGCTTCTCTTATCGGCCAAGTGCGAGAAAAGAAGGATGTTCCCCTGGGCCCCGAAGACCCCAAGGAAGAGGACGGCTCCTTTGACTACAGGTGGGTGATCTGTTTGGCTCCTGGTCCCCACCCCCCCATCCATCCTGCTGTCACCTCTGCCTCTCCAACAGCCTCTGCTTGTGCTGAGTGGGCTGGACGAGGCTGCCTCCCCGCAGGGAGGACACGGCCCTGCACACTCACATGGATTTGAGGGACACTGTTCCATTCATTCAACCGCACAGCTCCAATTTACTGAGCTCCTTCGATGTGTGTTTCCATCTCTTTCCTCTGAAAGCAGATGCTGGTAACACCATGGCCATGAAATGAGCTGTCGGCTTCCTCTCTGCCCACCCCCCACCCTAACCCTGAAGACAGGGACCTGGGGAAGCTGTATTGTCTTGAAACTTCAACTTAGTGAGGGATGAGGGGCAGGGGTGGGGGGTTCTAGATCTTTTCCTCATGAACTTGAATGATATCTCTGGGCCCTAGCCCAGAGCAAGTCTTGGAGAAGCATCTGGTTGGGGCCTGTCCCAAATCAGAGCACTGAGGCCCAGACAGGGAAGTGACCTGCCCAGGAACCCCACCTATACTTGCTGCCCAGCGAGCTGGTGGCAGAGCTGGAGAAACCAGGGCCTGACTCCCAGCGGGGCAACATCACGATCCATCCCTCTCAGATCTGGACGGGCCTTTGTGGCTGGCGTGAGAGAGACAGATTACACAGTTGTAATCTCCATTTTGATGGCAAGTATATCCTGAGTTAAGGAATCATTCGGGGTGGGTCACGGAGGCCTCATTCCCAGACTAAGGCGGGCGGGAGGAGATGCTCTGATCAGAACCCTACTTCCCCACCCCCACCCTGTTTACTCTCTGGGGCAAGATCACCCCGTCTTCCCCTGACCTCTCCTTATCCTACCCTCAGCCTCCACCACTCCACTCATCAGCAGCCTGGCAGGCAGACGCTGCCCAGAGCCACTGCCCAGCCAGGAGCCTATCTGGAGACTTATGTACCAAATCCGTCCGCCCAGTCCCGACATCTCCAAAGGCCTCCTAAAACGGCAAGCAGGAGAGGCCCCTCCCCTGACTGTCCTCAGCACCCCTGGCAGGGCCCGTCTTCCCCAGGGGCTGAGCCCTATTTCCTTCCTGGCCACCGGTTCCAAAGAACATGGGGCTTTCCCTTCCCCAGGCCCTCAGTGCAACCTGGCCCCTGTGCTCTGAGAAGCTGCTCCCTCAGGCACCTCTCCTCCCCCAGGCACGGAAGCTGTTGGGCAAAAATATCTGCCTTCTCCCCACCCACTCCCCTGTCCCACCCACACTGAGGCTGGATATACGTACACAGGAGCATGCACGGGCCCACAAACCGCGGACGCACACGCACACGCGCACACACACCCGCCTCGGTTTTGGCTCGGCAGCGAAGCACCTCTCTGGTGGGTCTCTCTGCTTCTCTCTCCCTCATCTGCCCACCTGTGTCTCCAGGGTCTCTCGGGAGATGGGCTGACAGGTGACTAGACCAGGGACCCCCTACTCCTTCTGGTTCCTTTCAAGCTTCCCTTAGAAGAGGTCTGTTCTTTCCAGATCTAGATCCTCTTCTCTGTAAGAACCTGACACACTCGAGACGCTCCCTCTGCCCAAGCTGGGCCATTCCTGTCCAGTGGCTGCATTTGGCTTAGGTACCTGGAATCCCCTAGAATCACACAGACACAATCCTCATGCTCCTGGGAGGGAGTGTGTGTAAAAAAGACCCGTGAGTAGGACCAGGACCAGCAAGAAGCTGCTAGTTTTCCAAACGTGAGCCCCACTCTCCATATAGACTCAGTGCAGCCCTGCAGACCCGCCGCCTCCCCGTAGCCCTGCCTTCAGAGAACAGGCCGAGGTAATGGGGCGCAAGAGGGAGGGCTCATGGCTTTGCGTGGACTGACGCCCCTTTGGGCTCGGGCTCCAGGTCCTCCCCTGCTAGCTGTCTCTGCCCAGCACCAGTGTTGGAAGCCACCATGCGTTGCCCCCTCTAATGGCAACTCAGCCGGCTGTTTCCACATCCCCCCCACCCACACACACTCAGGAAGGACTAAGTGTGGCCTGGGGGCCAGGGAGGGGACATTATGTGTCTGCCACGCCTGGCACCGCGGTGGCCGCGCCGGCTGGGACCCAGACTCCCACTGCCTCCCGGCTGCCTCCTGCCTGGGGGCCGTCTCCCCTCTGAAATGGGGCCAGCAGCACCTGGCCCCCCCTCGGAGCCTAAGGGCAGGACCTGGGGGCCTCCGAGGAGGCTGGGCAGGGTCGCCAGAGCCTTGCTGAGCTTTGTCCCCGGGTGCTGGCCTCGCACTCCTGTGTGTGCCCCTCCGCTCGTCCCACCCTCTTTCACTCGAGGCCCCAGCAACAGCATCTGCTCGTCGGTAAACCAGAGAGCGGACAGAACCCACACCACGTGAGGAGGGGAGAGGCAGGGGAGAGGTTTGTTTCCCCGTGGCCCAGACCCGTTGCTTTTAGTCAAGGGCAGAGCCTTTCGAGACAGGGCCACCCAGATCACAAAGAGTCAAAGCAAGTTCAACCCCTCTTGATGGAGAGACTAAGGCCCAGGGAGAAGAAAGGCTTCCCCAAGACCCCAGAACCACACAGTGACGCATGCAGCTCTAGCCCCCCAGCTCCTTGGCCCACCCCATCCTGCCTCGTCTTACAGCAGCTGGCTCTCCTCACTGTGGGGTGGCTGTCTCTGCCTCATGACAGGGACCCCAGCCCAGGAGTCCGGAAGAGTGGCCTCCAGGCCCAGCTCTGCACCACCTTGCCACCTCACCTGGGAGAAGACGGTCCTCTCCGGGCCTCGGGTTCCCTTCTGTAACCCAGCCGGACAGGGGAGGCCTGGGGGCTGGGGGCACTGACTGGTGACCTCTGAGGTCCTCCCCTCTCTGAGCTGCAGAGCACATATGCCTGGCAAGAGACCAGCAGCCTGGTGCTATCCCGCCTGGGTTTAAGCACCACTGGACTGGGCCAGACCCTGATTCTCTGTCTCTCTCTGGCCAGTGACGAGGACAACAAGCCCCTGCAGGGCAGCCAGACGTCCCTGGATGGCACCATCAAGCAGCAGGAGAGTGACGATAGCCTGGTGGACTATGGCGAGGGTGGCGAGGGGCAGTTCAACGAGGACGGGTCCTTCATCGGCCAGTACACGGTCAAAAAGGACAAGGAGGAGACAGAGGGCAATGAAAGCTCAGAGGCCACGTCGCCTGTCAACGCCATCTATTCTCTGGCCTAATGGAGCCCTCCCCCCCCAACCCAGGGCACAGCCACTACTTTGCAAGTGGGAGGAGGGGAGAGGGGCAGATGAAGCCACTGCAGACCTACCACACAGCCACCACCACCTTCAGGGACAAGGAAGGGTACAACAAGGGGATCTGCCAAGCTGTGAGGACCAGTGACCGCCCAGCCAACCCCAACCCCCTCCCGATGACCCCCCCTGCCCCCCTGGGGTGCCGCCATGTGGAAGAGCTAGAGTCCAGGCTAAGCTCAGCTGGAGGGAACCCAGCCCTTTGCTCAGCCTCACGGCCACCTTGAGCCTTCCACCCCCACTGCCCGCCCTTGACCTCAGCGCACACACCAGTTGCTGTCGGTTATGGCCCTTCACGTTGTCTTTGTTTTTGCTTTGTGCATCTTCCCCATCCAGACCTAGCATCTCCATTTTCTTTTCCTTTCGAAGAAATGTCCCTAGACAAAGAAAGAATAGGTGGATTCTCCCCCAGATAGGCAAAAGGATTGACCTGTAAAAGAACGTCGAGAAAAGCTGTCGTATTCACACCGCCACCTGGCCGATGTATTTCCGAAGGATGCCTTTCTCGCCAGATGCCTCCCCGGGCCCCCAACCCATGCGCCTTGGCCTTGTCAGTTGCTGAGCTGGGCTTGGCTCTTTTCTGCAAAATGACAGTATTTTTGGCAGGGAGAGAGTGGGCAGGCCTGCTTGCCTCGCTCTGGTTCAGTCGGGAGGTGGGCTTACCTCTTGCTCCTTGCTCTCACCCTGCCCCTTCCTCCAGAGTGTCCCAGACAAGAGCTGCGCCAGCTCTGAAGGAGTCTGAGGAACAGGAGCGGCCACGGATGGGAAGAGCTTCGACACCCGTGGCCGAGTACCTCAAGCAGAAGGAAACCGGGCATCTGGTCCCTGGGGAGCTGTGCTCACCTCAGGAGAGGAGGAAAGGGCTGGGTTTGGACTTCCTTCCTCCCCATCAATGAAACCCAGGATGTGGGAGAGAGGACCATGCCCCCTGCCTGCAGGGGAGAGGGTGCCCCCTACCTGGTCAGGGATCTCCGCCGCTGCCCTCACGGAGACGGAACCAAGCAATGCAGAAGCTTTGCTGGTGTGTTTGGGGGTGTAACTTGCTGCTCCCCCTCTTGTCTCTAGCAGAGAGCATCTCCTCGGTCAATTCTGTAAGACGTTGAAAGTGGTGTTTTACACCGTGCCACCCCCCCCCCCCCCCCCCCCCCCGCCCCGAGACCGAACCAGCGTGTCCTCTCCTTGGGGTATTTACATATCAGGAGAGCCCGTGGGAACACCACGCTGACCGCGCCGGAGAGCCTGGCCTGGGGACCCCGCGCCCTCCGGATGCCTTACGCAGCTCTGATCTGGCCCTGCAGCTCCCAGGTTCCCAGCCCCTGCCCGCAAGCCTCGAAGCCTCCAGCCATGTCTGTCTCGAGAGTGGGGCGGCCCCTGCAAATGTCACCGCAGAACGAGAGCAACCACTCGACGCGTGCCCTGCATCCCGTTGCCCCCGCCGGAGACCCTGGCCAACTCCAGTTCTCTGAGACCGAAGGCGCGGCCTTCATCCTCCCCACCTAATCCGTTTCTGAAACCAAAGGTACCTAGCCTCAGAGAGAGATCTTGAGCCTGAGAGCAAGCCGGTGGCTGTCACTGCAGCTAGAGTCCGTTTCGGGAGGGTGAAGCTGACCCCTAGCGATGGCCTGCCTCTGGCACAGCCTCTGATTCGAGCCTCCAGCTGCTTGCGGGGCGGCCTGGGCAGGAACGGGGCTGTGTCCTTCAGAGGCTCGATTAAAGCATCGTTTGCCACACGTTTTAAACCACAAAGGTATTAGCAATGCTTGCATCACTTAGTAATCAGTCATTTGACGGTCAAGCCCGTAGACACATGTACTCTGTCTGCAGGTAAGAAACCATAGCCCAGAGCTGAGCCAATTACGTTGTTTGAACCTGAGAGCAAGTAACGGGCCTTTGGCCCCAGCCGTGGCCAGCCTTGCGGCCCAGAAGCCCGAGGGGCAGCTCTCTCATGGTGAAAGGAGACAGGGTGAATAATGGGGGGCTAGGAGTGAGCTCAGGGGTCCCCTCCCCTGGCTTTCCTCTGACGCCTGCCTGCATACAGCGGGGCATTCCTGCACCCAAGCCCAGCGTCCCTCAAGGGACTGTCAGGGAAGTGTGCCTGTGCACTGAATTAAAGGACCAGCCTTTCCAGAAAACACTCTGGATCGGAGCAGGGCAGTCTCGGGCCCCTCACTCCATGGGACACCCCGCACACTAGTGGGCTCAGTGTACCGCAGACAGGCTCATAGGGTGAGGGGACCGTGAGCGCACGGTGCCAGTCTGCCTGCCGCGCAGCCAAGGACCGCAGAAGGGCTTCTGCCTGCACGGGGTCTGGAGGAGAGCGGGTCCCTCAGCCCGGCCACTCCTCGTGTGTGTCCTGCCGGCTCTGAGCCTCAGCTGCCCTCGGCAGCGCGCCACCACACTGCCCACCCCTGGCAGATGGGCGCCAGCCTGAGCCTGGAGAAGCAGTCCTCCGCAAGCAGAGATGCTCAGAGAGGTGTGTGGCTGGCAGGGTTCGGGAGCAGCCCTTCCAGGAAGAGGATGTCCGTTTTCCATGGGCCCATGCCAGAGCCGAGCCCGCGTAGCCGGAAAGCAGTATTGGCCCACACCGCCCGGCCAGCTGGGGCGCCCAAGCAGCCCCCCGAAAACCTACCAGCCGTGGAGCCAGGAGACAGGACACCCCTGCCGCTTCCGCCTGCCTGGCTGTTGGTGGGGGGCATCTTGCGGCGACCCCAGAAGCCCTTTGCCTGTGCTGCGGGCCCAGCTGCTGTGCTCGGCCGCCAGGCTGTGGGCTCAGGAGACACTCCTGAACTTCTAGAGTGAGCCGGGCTCGGAGCCATAGTCATGCGTGGCCCCTGCCCTCCCAGGGCTCACAGGCCTGGGGCTGAGGCTCAGGACACAGAGGGCATTGGTTGGGAGCACCCTGAGTGCTTAAGCCACCGATGGCTCCAGGCTCAAAGGGAGACGCTTCGGGGAGAGCACATGGTCCACGAGGCTGAGCGAGACGGAGCGGTCAGAGCCTGCAGGGTGGGGTCGAGGACAAGTACTGCTTCCTGAGCCTCTTTGCTCTGCCCCTTGGGGCAAGTTGCTTAACTTGTCGGTATGTTGGTGCCCCCGTCTCCCCTATGTCATCCATCCTTTGAATACCTCTCCCCACAGAGGGGCAGGGGCCCACCTGAAGGAGCAGGAAGGCCAGCGTGTAAGGAGTAGAGCGCTGCAGGGCCAGGGGACAGCTGCCACCCACCTTGCCTGGCTTTTGGTGGAGGGGACTCATCTTTCCTTACCTTGCTATTGAAGAGATGGTTGAGGTTCGGTTGAAGGGAAAACCAGACTAGCTCTTTCCCTTGTCCATTGCCTTTGCCCTGGGAGGTGGGAGGCATCTGGTCCACCCCTTTCTGGCAAGTCCCAAGGTCTGGAGACATGTCCACCTGTCCAAGAGGCAGCGCGTGCCAACACTGCTCACCCTGCAAGGGATATCTGCAACCTTGGCCAGATACTGCGTCCACAGCTTTCCCGAACACGGCCTTCGGGAAGGGCTGAGGACACATGTGGGTTTTCCAGCTAAGGGGCTGCCTCCCCCGCCCACACCCAGCACCCACGCACGGGCCGACCCACACAGTAGGGCAGCACTTTCAGGGGCAACAGTACTGATTATGACATCTTAGGGTGAGTTCACACCCCGACCCGCTTGAGACGAGATGTGAAGGGCCGCCTGGGGTGCAGTGTGCAGCTCAGGACAAGGGGGAAGAGGCTGCCCAGGTTGGACCCCATTTGAGGGATTCCCGCCAGCAGAGCTGAGAGAGAAAGTCTGATCCGAAGGAGAGGGAAGCTTCCCCGGGAACAGCCCAGGGCAGAGGTTCTTTAAGGGTCATGGGGCCCTTTGCAGGATCCGAGCCAAGCCACAGAGAGTCACAGAGAGCCCATGGGACTGTGGGGATTTAAAACACTTTGCCTCAGTCTTAGCAAAGCTGCTTCGCTAACACTGAGGCGGGGAGGCTCCCCCGGCTCTCAGGGGGTGGGCAGCAGGTTCCTCGGATGCTGGCACAGGGCGTGCTCCCCATTCGTGACACCTTGGTCACCACTCCTACAGCCCCTGCCAAACACACACACGTCTGCTAGGAGGAAATCACCCGGCGGATCCTGGTTGAGCTTCGCATGGTGGCTTAGGAGTAGCATGTAGGAGGTCCCTGATTTAAAAAAAAAAAAAAAAATCGGAGGAGACGAATGAAACAAACTTGAAATGCCAGGAGGAGACAGTGCCCCAGGCAGAGCCAACTCCGGGCAGTCCCGTCCCCTAAACCAGGCAGGGGCCAGCCCTTGGGAGTTCGAACCAATCTTGCTGCTGTTGCCAGCCGGCCCAGCCCAAGCCCGGGCAGCACCCTGCCTTCTCCCCCCTGTTGAGAACAGCCTTCCCGAGACAGGTTCAGAGAAGGATCAGAGGGACAGGACAACCACCCAGGGAAGCCACGAGACCCCACCGAGCAGTGTCTTGCGCCACACGCCCACCCAGCGCACCTCTATCAACATAGTATTAAACGGAAGTCCTGTGATGCTAAGGCTGGAAACGAGCTCAGTTCCAGGGTGCGTCGCTTTGGATAGCCTCAGACTGCAGCACGCGGAGGAATCACAGAGCTGATCTCATGGACAGGACTCTTCGTGCAGACGAGGACACTAAAGTCCACGGAGGGGAAGGGACTTCCCTGAGGTCCCGCGGCTGGTAAATCAGGGTGAGGGGAGGGCTTGAACCCGGGCCTCCGAGTCCTTGTCTAGGGTTCTCCACCTGCCCCCAGGGGCCTCCTTGGAAATAGAGGTGTAACTTCACATCTGTCTGTACCTCTTATCACTTCTCCCCCATCCTCCGTACGCCTCCCAAAATGAAAGACACAAAGGATTTTTTTGAGGCCAAGACCAGGCCGTCTGCGGCAGCCCACGGGGAAGCCAGCCTCGCAGGGCAGACCCGGGCCAGGAGAGAGTGATGAGCTGACTGGTGTTTGTCACTGTGAAGTCTCGACTGTACTCTGGAGTGGCGTCTCTTGTTTCGTGATACTTGGGACCCCCCAGCAGTCTGCGTCCCTTGGGCCCTCGGCCGTGGAGGCTCGGCCACCCCGGGGCTCACTGGGCTGGAGTTCAGCACACATGAAGAGTTCAGTGAAGCAATAAACACAAAAATCTGGGAGAAGAAATCCAGAATTTTGTGCCCTACTCTGTTACTTTTTCAAAAACGATGCCAATCGGATGACCCTGCCCGTTTTTTTGTTTGTTTGTTTTTGATCCCCCCAATTGGACATCCTCAGTCAGTGTTGTCCCTCTGCCCAGCTCCCAGCTCTTTGCCACCTTCACCCTCCTCCTGGGCTGAGCATCAGTCACCTGTGACGTGGCCGCCTTCTGTCCCGGTCCCACCTCCAGCCCACCCTGGCCCAAGAGGACCTCCCGCCCTGCCTCCCCCCCGCCAGCACCCCTTTCCCCCCCACACACACCGTGCCGCCTTGTTTCTTCCGGGGGGGGGTATTTTTTCCCCGACGTCTCCATGCCTTCCCGCACACCCACACACCTACAGAGTGGTCTGATCTTTTTTCCATTGGTTAAAGATTTAACTCTCCATGGCAGACCTTGTTTTAACCCGTCTCACATCATGTTCTTTCCTCTTTGCAAGTTATTTTGCATTAACCAACGTTGTCAGCGACAGATGCGGATCTGAGGGTGTCACACACGACCTTCAGCAGGGAAGACTTCCGGGCCGCGGAGGACCATCTAATACATGGACTTATAAACTGACTGCATGAGCAATGAAAAGGCCAAATTATTCAGAATTTTTTTTTTTTGGAATCACTGTAAAAAAAAAAAAACTGATTTCTTTTGTATAGAGAACACTAAACGTATAATAAAAGTTGTTCAAAATGGACTCTGGCCAAGTGATTTGTTCATTTTCTTTAGTTAACGGGAAGAGGGAGAGGGGTGTTGGGATTGAAAACAGAGAGAATCAAAAAGGATTTCTCCGGGGCACCAGACAGCGCATACTTTGGGGATTCTGCAAGGCCCATCGTGAAGTTGGTCTTATCCTGGAAGCCTCGTTGGCACAATTTGTGTTCTGACCGTACAGTGACTGATATGTGTGCAGCCGTGGAGATGGCCTGATTCAACGCAACGGTATGTGTGCTTGTGAACCATTTAAGGAGTGCTGCGATGGGGATGCTGGGAGAAGGGGAGAAGTGTGCGATGAAGCTCTCCGTCCCCCCACCTTCTTCTGTGCCCCTGCCCTTAGGTGGGAGAATACCAGCACATTTAATATTGTTGAAGGAATGAATAATACTGCCTACAACAAACCAAAAACCTCTCTCAGTAGACTCAAAGGAATCTCAACCAACAAGCAAATAGGGGAAGGAATGAGGCAGAGAGGGCTGTGTTGGTGGAGGGGTACTGATCCACAGTTATGCGTCCTTTCTTGATTCTTCGGCCTGAGTTGGGCTAATTCTCACTGAGGAGTGCCCCATCGGCCGTCACCCAGGCAGGATGAATGGCAAGGGACCCCCAGATGTTGTAACTCCCCTCCCTATCCTCAGGGTGGTGTGGGGGTTAGGGAATGGGCAGGGCTGGGAGATGGCTCTGCTCGGGTAGAAAGATAACTGATGGTTTACAGGCAGGAATGGGAAATAAGGGCAAAGGATTCCCCTGAAAATGCAGGCCCCATTCTCCTGGATAAAGGACCATCAGGTAACTATCCAACCCACCTGGGTTTCCTCTTCCTTCAAAAGTCCTCAGAACAGATCGGGACCTGAGGCCTTATTTCCGGGTCTGGCTCCTCCTGAATTTTTGGGTATCTCATTGGGTATGCCATGTAACACCCCTGAACCTCCCTGATCACTCCTTAGAATACGTGAAAGATCTTTTTCTCATCACTCTCATGTTCACAAGCTGTCTCTGAAATCTGCCCTTCATGTCCATGTGCACCCTCCCACCAGTGACCCAAGCCCTCATCCTGAATTGACAGAGTCCTTCCTTGCCTCTCCTGGCACCTACTCCCTGCTCGAAACTGCAGCCAAAAGGATCTGCTAAAATACAAATGTGATCCTGTCCCTTCTTTACTTAAGACCTTCAAGTTGGCTACAATACCTTCAGTCTGCTACAATAGGATAAAATCGTAACGCCTTGGCTTGGCATGTTAGACCTTTCATGATCTGACCCCTCCTTCAGCAGCCTTGTTTTTAACCACTCCTCCACATGTATCCTAAATTCCCATTCTATTCTGTTTCCTGCTCCCCCTGACATGCAATTATTTCTCACACTTCTCAGCGTTGGCAATTCAATTCCACTCAAAAGCACCTATTAATAACCTACTCTGTGCCAAAGAATGCTATAAGGTAAGTAGGATAGAGTTCCAGTCCTCAGGAAATTCAGACTGTCATGAGAAACAGTCAAGTAAGCAAAAGCAATGTTATAGGAGCACCTACCTGGCTCAGTCTGTAGAGCATGCAATTCTTGATCTTTGGGTCGTGAGTTCGAGCCCCACCTTGGGACTAGAGTTTACTTTCAAAAAAATCAATGTTATAGTACCCAGGACAAAGGGCTCAATAAATGTGGGTTCAACAAATGAATGATGGCCCAAAGGTGGGTCTGCTTGGTACACCCTCCTCCTGGCCTTCCATACGCCCCTTCTTCTAGATAATTCATAATCACTGGAGTTGATGCTCACAACCAGCCCCTGCAGCACCTAATTCCAGGCTTTTTCCTCTCTCCCATTTCAAACCCCTCCAATCTCCTTTCTCCTTACAGATCATCCCCCCCCACCCCGGGCTCCTTGAAGGCAGGCAGTGGCCTCGTGCTGGGTCACAAAGTGCTGATCTTTAACAATCAGCTCAGGTGAAGTCTTCCCCACTACCTGATGTAGCCCATGCAAGTATGTGTGTGTGCGCACGCGGGCTGCACAGTCTGGTTCAGACCCCCTTGCTCTGCGCCCAGAACATCTGTGTTTTGTCTTTCCCAGAGAGTCCTCATGCACGTATTGCCTATTTGTTTCACGAAATCGTGAACATCCTGAGTATGAGAGATTTTCTTCATCTGTGTGTCCACAGGCCAGTGGCGGGCACACAGCAACGACAAAGCGAATGAATATGAATGAATATGAATGAATGGGTGAACCGTCTTTCCTTTGAAAGAAGTGGCTAGGTGAATTCAAGACTTGTGTCATCCTCTTTGGATATTGGATTTGCATGACTTTTGGGGGGCCGTGGGCAGTCCACCGGCCCACTTTTGGAGCAGGAACCCCCCCCCAACTCAAGGGGATAGCAATGGAGAGATGAAGCAAGCATCTTATTTGAAGAAAGCCAACCTCAATTCAGCTGAGGCCAAACAAAGCGGCTGCCTCTCTTCAGGGCCCAAGGGATTCCCAGAGTATCTGTCATCCCTCATCCCTGTCTCCTGAAGGCTGTGCCTCCCAGCCCATTAGAAATGCTAATCTCCAGCATGGAGCGGGATTAACCGACCCAGTGGGAGGCGACAAGTCATCTTCCAATCTTCATTAAGAGTGAAGGCTCTACCCATCTTGCCCAGCTGCCTCCAAAGGGATGGGATCTGGGAACTCATTATAGCCCCTCTCATCAAGGCAACCACTACTGCTCAAAACCATATTAGGTGGCGGAAGTTAGGGGAGGGCCTTTTCAGCCTCCCCTCCTCACTTAATGCATCAGAGCCCATTTGTTTGATGTTGGCGCCTGCTGGAGCGAGGACCAGGCAGTGGGCCTCAGAGCAATTTGGAGCCACAGCTGCGGCCCAACAGCCCCGCTCCCAAGCTCCACTCCCACCCCCACCCCCGCCCCTGAACTTGCTGCTGATTAGCCCCGGACCCCAAGGCAAAGGAGCACGGCTTCGTGTAGACAGGGGAACAGTCACTCCGAAGCAAACAAATGAAATTACTTAGTGAGTATTTAACATCACAACTGCCCTCTAACGAGGCTGAATTCAGTGGAGGATCCGGGACTGACCTGGGTAGAGAGTTTGCAGATAGGCAGTGGGAGAGTCCTGCATTATTAGAGTGGGGAGCTTTTGGAGCCCCAGGGCGAGAGTTGGGGGCAGATGAGGAGCAGAGACAGGCAGCAGGAAGATTCGTACTTCTGTTAGTATGGTCCCTAGACCGGCAGCATCTGGATCTCCTGGGAACTTACAGACATGTACATTCTTGGGCCCTGCCCCGATCAACTGCAGCAGAAACTCTGGA